AGTTGGGGCGGTGGTTGGGATAGTAGTTGGAGGAGCAGGTGCAAGAGTAACGGTCGAGGGAGCTGCAGTGGCAGTCGACTCGATGGTTATGGGTACCGTTGAGTAGACAGTGCCTCCGCTTGAGGTGGCAGTCTTTTCCGAAGGGACAGTGACGACTTCTGTGACTGGCACGCTTGTTGCGAGAGTGATAGAATTGTAGACTGTGGCCTTCGTCGTAGGAGGCTCTGTGGTCGATGTTATGGTATAGAGAGAAGTCACCTGTACGTCAAGATCTCAAAGTCAGTATAATGGAATCTAGAAGTTCAGATAATGTTCGACGGAAGTGGGGACACTGTTTTTGAGGAGCAATCGACTCCAAAAACCCTCCTGTGATGTACGAGAGAGGATATACGCTTCAGCAAAGGTGACTCACCAGAATAGTATTTGTCTCGGTCGCAGTCAAAACAACGGTGCTGCCACTCGACACAGTTGTATAAACACTTTCGATACAGGTCGTCGTTGTTGCAACATCCGTAGTCTCGTATTCCGTAGTGAGTTGAGTGGTATATTCAACAATTGTGGTGGGGATTTTCGCAACGACCAGACTCGTCGATGTATAAATGACGGTTACCGGTGAGCCAGAGACGGTGGAAACAGTCGTAACTGGGCAATACGATGTGGAGGTGGAGTACACAAAGCTTTCGATATTTGTAGTGACTGGGGAAAGTGTGGTGCTATAAATGTGTTAGTTTGAATTTCGTCACGAACTTGAAATCTTACTAAGATTCAACCTTTGTGGGAACCGCAGTTACAATCAAGCTGGTTGATGTATATGTCTTTGTCACCACTTGTCCAGAGACAGTCTCAACCTCAGTGATCGGACATAGACTGGTTGACGTGGTGTAAGAAATCGCGGTAGTATTCGTAGTTGAAGGAGGCAGTGTAGTGCTATGATTTATTGGCTGAAATTCATTTTCGAAGGTGGGAGAACTTACTATGATTGAACCTTGGTTGGGATTTCAGTGACGACGAGGCTAGTGCTCGTATATGTCAATGTAACAACTCCCCCGGAAACCATCTTCGTCTCCGTAACTGGGCAAAGGGAGGTCGACGTGCTGTAGTAAACGTCTGTAGCACTAGTCGTAACATCCGGCAGGGTGGTGCTATACCATATTAGCTAGACTCTGCTGTAAAGAGGAGGACAGCTTACGCCACCTCAATAGTGGTAGGGATGACCGTCTCTACAACTGAAGTTGTCGTATGCGTTTCTGTATATGTAGTGCCCGATTCAGTACTAAAAGCAAGTTAGCCCGGATGTTCTTGGTGATAGCTTGAATAGAGATAGTATTCTTTAAGAGAACGCACCTCGTTTGCGTAACGGGACACACCGTCGTGTAAGTTATGGCAACTTCAGTTGTGGTGTAAGCAACTTCAGACGGAGAGTTGCGTGCAATAATATTTTCAGCAAAGGCGGCAGTGGCCAGTGCCAGTAGAGTGAAAGATGCCTTCATGTTAATGTTTATGGGGCTCAAAAGACGACAAAAAGCGAATGATGATAAACTGATTACACTCTTGAGAAAACGAGGGTTTTAAGTAACCGTAGCGAAGGAGTTACTTGCTCAAAGGAGGCTGGAGTAAGACGATTTCAAGAGAGGTTGGTTTGTGAGTTTGTGTGAACAAAGAAGGGAGGAAATCTGCGGGAATCCTAGTTTCTTAAGAGTCAAGATGAAATAACTCACCGTATTGGGGACACAAACAGCGGAATTCAATATGCCAGCGTTTTAATGTGCCAATCGGCTTGATTTGTGAAAGTCAATGCCGCTCGGTCTTTCCAAGAGGAGTTCACATGCCCAGCCTTGCCTGTGCGAGATGCACACATGGCTCGGCTCCATTTCTCCTATGATACGAGCAGCGGGTGCATGGCCAGAGCAACAGGTTTGTTGTTCAAGGTTGGCGATCATGACCACTGATTTTCTGACGTTGACAGCATAAACGAATTGAAGGCCTCCTTCCCAGTGGCTGGTTGCCCTAGCATCGCTTGCATGATGTGCGACGTTGTGTTGTGGCAAGCAGTCTGATTGTGGAGTACGAAGCATTCGTTGGCGAGGGGCGACAGGCACAGGCACAAAGTGCCCCTGCAAAACCCTATCAAGACTGATGTGTGGCCGGAAATAATCCCTGTCAATGATGTCCGTTTGGCGAGGCTGGGGCTGGGGTTAGGTTGGGATCCTTTCCTGTTCATGGAAAACCAGGAAACCACCATGCGTATGACATGGAACAAAACCTTTCGATCAATACTACAAAAGGGCGAGATTCAATGCCAATAAATGCAAAACATACTTTGCTATTGGCCTTAAGTAACCAAGAGTGCCCGTAGTTATACTTTCAAACCAATTTTGCAGAGGTAATTTACTTCCAGAGCATCAATATCAATGGTCCACCTGTTAACAAATAAAACTTGATTCCTCCAGAATCTTGTTCTCCGCTTCCAAGTCCGTAGTAACGAGGCAGTGCATCTCTTGCAAGAACTACCGGCAATCGAAACCGGGCAACTCACCTGGGTATATTTCATACAAGGGTAATGATAATAAGCACAGAAATATCCATTTTGCGTGCTTTCACCTATTGGTGGCAAGTCTGCAACGACGAGGTTGGTTAAACAATCGCTGCTGTACCATGCATGATTTCCAAATACAAGGCTGGCCCGAAAAGCAAGTATAGTGATAAAAGACACTGAGATTTGAAGAAGCACTCCACACACCGCAAAGAGTGAATATCTCGCCTAGGAAGTGATCTTGAACATCTTGTGGATTTTGAAAATTTGGAGGTAAATGATCCTTAAGTTGGGGAAATAACTATCGGAGCCTTTCTGTCGCACCCCACCCAGCCCAGCCTCTTGAAGATCCTTGTATGCTGATCATCATTGAGCTACCGCAAGGTCCGCGCAACTTTGAGGATGACTTCATGCACATGCTTTATCAAGGTTATCGTAAGCGGGTGCGGGGTAATGGTGGTACAGTACAGGAAATGGGAAGCAAAATTACGAAGATGATCCTAAACAAGAACCCGGGCTGGAAAGTAAAGGCGAGTGGAATACCGTACCACCAAAATTACTGGAGGATCATGATGCCTTAGGTTGTATGCTGCAGGACATGCAGCAGGATTAGCTGACAGACACACATTCGTAGTACGAAGTAGTACCTCTAGTTGGCTGTCATGCATCCCTTCTATTCGGAAGGATGAGGAATTCCCGCCATTCTGTCACCATACTACCATAGTGCCACCCAGAACGCGATGTGGAAATTTTGAACTTCCTGCCTCATTTTCGATCCGGACCTCGTAACTCAAATGTTACATGAAAAAGCCTCCGGGTGGTCCACCTCACACAATGATCCAATAGTTCTTGGGTGAGCGAAAATGTACATTCGACCTTGACAATTCGGTGTAGTCTCACACCGCAACTTTAAGATGATGCTTCAGTCATCATCCTCATCAGTTCCACTATCCCAGCCTTCCTCATAGGCTTCCGCTATCTCACCAAGAGAATTGCTCAGAGCCTCACGCTCATCAACGCTTATTGCCCTGTTGACAATATTCTGAAGGCTCTTCACCCTCAAAGCAACCGATGTGTCCGTCGACAAAGATGTGCTTACTGCTAGCGATGGCGGAGTCGTGCTAGTTTGAGCAAATATATGCGGGAAGCTATCGAGCAAGGGGAAAGACATGGGTATTTTCGTTCTGTGGTACCAATGTAAGCAGGAGTCATTCAAAACCAAACCAACCGAGAACAAATAACTGAATTCGAGAGTTGATGGTAATAAAGTAATCCAACAAGGTAGGCTATAACTCTGTAGGATAGGGCAGTGCACTAACCTTTGGATAATTGGAAGACCAGCCGCTCGACGCCGCGCGCGCTCGTGTCCTTCGTCTTCTCCAATGAACTGTGTTTGTTGCTGATCATGAGTCCCCCGAGAGTTCTCAACTTGGCCAAAAACATGGGGCTTGCGGGGGCGGCGAGTTCGGAATTGCTCGCCAGTCTCCGTAGAGAAGAAATCCATGTCAAGAGTCTTGGGTTCCTCCTCCTGATTCAAATTTGAATCATTGACATGGCCGTTTCCGAGCGGAACTCTTGAATCCCCCATTTGCCCAATTCCTCCCGCAACCTGTGAATCGCCGTGTCCATTGAGGGCTAATTCTTGGTCGATAGTCATCCGAAGCCTCGTGATTGTTTGGTTCCCGTTCACATTAACCGCGTTTGAAATCTGATCAAAGGTTTGCCGAGCACTGCTTTGAACTTTTAAGCGAGAAGGGAGAGACATGCTCTCCATAGCCGTGGACAGAAGTCCAGATATATGCCATGGTGAGTGTGTATCCAAGGTGATGTATGAGGGCGGAGAATCTGAAGGAATAGCCATGGGAACGAACAGAGAGGCTTGTGGTGCTATTTCCGAGATCGACCTAGCTGTGTTCGAAAGCTTCAAGAATCGTTTCTCCTATCGACAATTATTAACAGTACTAAAGCCAAGGGTAAGAGAGGTTCGCACTCGTGGAATAGTTTTGATGCTGTCTTCTAGTCCCCAGAAGAGGACAGATGTCTTCCCATACTCATCCCGGATTCGATCCAAATATCTTGCTGCAAAGCCTCCCCAAGCATCATCAATTCCGGCCATCAACTGAATGCCTTGCATTTGGTCCGCTTCCTCGGCGAAATACCTAAGATCACGATCTAAAAGATCATGTTCTTTGTCCAATGAGTTGAACAGCTCTTCGCCGAGGTTCCAGTTCTCGAAAGGCATCAGGGTAGAATTGAGCTCAAACTCATTCAGTTGAACTATAGATCTAGGGTGGAAGTAGACTCGATTGAAATCCGACCAGTACTTGACCGATTCGGAAGTGAGTTGTGGAGGAGCCACCCCTTGATCGAGGCTTCTCTGGTACTCATTCTGCTGGATTGCTGTCTGTCTTTGTACCACTGTTGGCCCGTTCCTAGGTCAACAAATTAGAGTTATTGAGACGGTAATATTGCGAGCGCTTCTTACCATAATCCTTGGGGGGCGACTGGTTCGTCTACTTCGTAAAGCGCATTGATCTTTCTCATGGAGCCAAACCCTCCCTTGAGATCATAGACGAGGGTCCGTGGGGTGAAGGTCTCTGTGCCATCGGCACCAATTCCCGGTCGAAAATGAATGTCATGGTCAACTAAAGTTTCTTGATCCGGAGAATATGTAAAATAAGATTCCTGATATTGGATTAGTCACGGCAGCAAGATGGAGAAAAGCCTGACTCTTTACCTGAGTATTCCAGAAATGAGTAGCAAGATAGTTGCTCTTCTGTCCCAGTTGGAGGGTTATTATTTCGTGCATAGCCGATTCTCTGCAGTCCGCAAGGTAGCAGAGGTGTTGTCTAAGAAGGCAGATATCAAAGTTTCGTCTTTCTCATCAGACGCTCAAACCCCTGTCGGAAGTTCTGAACTCCTTGACTACGCGATCCCCGCTCCCGAATCACGTCTCGAATTCGGACTTGGATGGACTCATTAGGTTCGCACTCTTATTCTTTCTTTCAAGTCTAAGAAGCTAAATCACACTCCTACTGAGCAAAAGAGATATCGGGTTTCTGAGTTTGGTCTCGTGATGAGAGGCTAGTGCTAGCCTTGCGCCATCACAAAAGAGGGATAGAACAGAAGCTCATCTGATTGGACTGGATCGTGGTTAATACACGCCACACCCTTCTGCGTATCAAATACCAGCTTCACAAACAGCACCATAACTAAGACCTTGTCAAAAATGACCTTTCAGCAGGAGCTCAATTCCTGGTGGTTTCCCAAAGCGCTGACTACGTTTCCGGTGCCAGAAGTCGGTGAGAAGGCTCCTGTTTCGTCGAAATTACCACTGCCCAACCAAAATGGGAAGCCTACGGTTATAGCATTCCTTCGTCACTGCGGATGTCCTTGTATGTTTCAATAGACATCCTCTCGCCCCTCTTCTTCCTGCTTACTTTCGTCCCAGTTGCCGAGAAAACCTTTCAAGAACTACGCAAATTGGCAGGAAAGCATCCAGAAATCAACTTTGTTGCTGTCTCTCATTCCGACGAAGAAGCGACTGAAAAGTGGGTCATTTCAGTCGGTGGCGAGTGGGATGTTCATGTTGTAGTCGATGCAGAGAGAGAACTCTACGCGCAATGGGGATTGGGAGTTGCAAGTACTTGGCATGTGCTCAATCCTTGGTCAATGTATTCTGTCTATCAGCTCGGAAAGAAAGAAAACATATGGAACCTGCCTACAGAAAGCGGCAGTCGCTGGCAAACATCTGGGAGCTTCGCCGTTGATGGAGATGGAGCTGTCAGATGGACTGGGGTAGCGAAAGCTGCTGATAGCATTCCTGACTTTCGGGATGCGCTCAAGGCGTTGGGGATTGAGGTATGATATTCTTGCGAAACATCTATCTACAAAGGCGTTCTGGGGCCGGAGCATGGGCATTAGGCTTGAGTGTGAGCCGTAGTTATCTGTGTTGTATTCTGCTGTTCATCAAATTGATGTCGGAGCTCGCGATGTGTCTATGAAGCAAAGTCTATTCATTGCCTGGCCTCAAATATTGGATATATGTTATGCGTGTCAGCTCCATATTTCTCTACTAATAATTTGACTTTGACCTGTGTCCGAAGATCGAAAGGTGTACAAGCCCGCCTCCTAGACTCGAACACAGCCAATATCACACCATGACGCCGGGTCTTGTCGTATAACACTCGACACCATTACAAGGTCTCGCATGCAAAAGATCAACAGGTAGCGACGATACAGCCCCAAGCTATGGCTACTTTTACAAGCATACAGGATTGAAAGGCGTCACCGGTAACGGGAAGCTTATTTCAGGATCGTTGGTAAAAGTGCCAAACCCCGTTCCAATGGGGTTAAAATTTACTTCCAGTTTTGAATTTACTACAAATAAATCTCTTTCTCAAGAATGATGAAGAGAGGACTTCCGAAGGTCTATAGCAGCTAGACGAACTGTATCCCATGCTTTAGTTGTTTTCATTACTCCGTCCTTCTGAGCAGTCTATTACTCTTATTGTTCCTTCCCGTTCAAGCCAGTGCGTACTGTTGCAGTTCCCTCTCTCCTCCGGCCCGCTCCTTCCCAAAGCTACCTACATTCCGCATTGCGCTCAATGACTTCTCTGGGGTGATAACTCTATCTTGATTCTTCGAGGAAATCTAGTTGGCCCTGATGGATGCTAAATCAGCTGGCAAGCCGCCAAGCACGCTCACTGAAGCAACCTCGCAGCCGGTGTCGAAGCCCAACAAGAATGGCCCAGAAGATCGCTTCCAAGTGAACCAAGACGTGCTTTATGATCGCGAATTCGGCGGCGATACGTATGTCTCAGCTCATCTCCAACGTCTACAGGTGAGTAAATTCTCTGTGTTTTCCATCTTGAAATAGCTATCGGAATATACTTTGTGGCTGTTCTTCCCATGTTTTCGAAATCGTAAGGACTAATCTGTTGGGGTAGCACGGATGCTTCACTGATAAAAACATACATAAGGAAGACACCCCACGCGTCACCTTCGCTGGTAAGTTTTGCCCTGAGAATGCGAGCTCTGGCATGTTTTAGAGCCTGGCTCTCTACCCTGGGAAAGTTTGAGGAAAGACTATTAATTCATTTAACAGCTATCACCTTCACCTTTCACCCATCAAACTCTTCGCAGCATCGGTTCACGTCTGCCATCATCACCATCTCTGCCAAATCCCAGACGGGCATGCCGATTCGATTCCTCAAGTTTGCCCCTCACTTAGCATTTGGCCGAATCAGCTCAGCTACTTTAAAATGGAACTTCAAACTCGGTGCTACTGTTGGCCTTTCCCAGGGACCTGCCAATGCTACACTAGACCCATCAGTAGGTTATGAGAAAAATACGGTGGTGGGAACAATGATGCACATGCGAGTCCACAGCCAGACGGCCGCCTTAATCCCATTCCAGAAAGGTGGAGAAGCTCTAGCAGTAGCAGAGGCTCTTCTCCTATTTAATCTCTAGAGCGACTATTTGCTAAGAATGGACATAGTCAGGGTTCAACACGGTCTACTTCTCCCGAAGCTGGACTGACCACGCCACTCGGTTACATCCTACCGCCATTAGTACCTGATACAAAATTGGTCTGGTCCCTTGAGGAAAATTCACAGCAAGAAAGCGGCATACCACGACAATTTACATTCATATTTCTGATGGAAAGAAGTCGACCTACTCGCAATATAAGCACTAGCAGTTGTCGCACAATCGTACCATGCCGTCCCCAGTCCCAGCCTCTTTCCAAAATGTCTTCCGGATCAACCTTAGTCGACCAGAGTCCATATGCTGCGAAGGCCACTCCGTCTTCGCTCTCAGCTGCTACGAAAGAAGATACGCCGTTCCAACAGTTTATTCATAAGTTTCATAAGAAAGGAATACCACGAGCGACCCCATCCGCGTTGTTTTACCAGAAGAAAAGGAAGAGGGACATTATGGTGATATCGGCAAGTCTCAATTGGCGTCGCAGCTCCTGGATGAACCAAAAGGGGTGGGAAGTTCTGGACACATGCTAGATGGTGCTTCGACCGAGCCGCCAAAATATCCTGCTCTCAACATCGCAGACCTTCCACGCGAAACCCTCCCAGGATCAGACCAACTAGCTTTTGTTGATATCCAACAAAATCTCTTTGGGGCTGACGCTAGAATCCCCAGACAGGTTTTCTTTTCAACTTCTCCAGATCCAACAGCGGGCAATCCTCAGATCAACGTCGAAAAATTGCCTGATTTAGATTTAAACACTGTCCCGCCTACAGTAGAAGACTCCGCGAACCTTGATGGTGTCTTTGACAGCTTCCAAGAAGAAACCGAAACTTATTATAAGGGGGATGTGTACGCCAGTAAACTTGGGGTTAACAGCGACTATGATATAATATTCACGCCAATTCATTTCATGTTGTCGATAGAGCCGCAAATTAACGACTGTGCGGACCACAAATTTCACGGTCATTCCATCGTAAGCAACCATTCTCTTTGTTTCCCCTGTTTACCTTTAGAGTGATAGGATTTCCGAACATATTTCATCGGCTCTTGCTTTATGCGGAAAACAAAGTACTAACTCGATGTAGGTAGGAGCAACTGTGGAAGGAGAGGTTGGTCAGAAACTTGACACGGACGCACTCGAAGGTGAGCAGAAGGATGTCATGGTCAACGGCTTATTCAATTTCGCAAAATTGTCTAGCTTTGAGGAAATGGTTGAACTTCCAGGGACGTCGGTCACATGGGTGGTAAGTTGAAAATGAAGATATGAGGATTAATGATGGACTGGCGCTGATCAGAAACAGGAGCCAACATTATCATGAGCCGGCAATTGTCAATAAGTGTATATTATTATCGAATTCATCACTCCGCGGATGCCCTTACAATTGATACTGTAAAATTCTGTCGACATGGAAGGGGTTTTGATTCATGAGACTGAGGACTGGGAACGGGTACCGGATACATTACATTGGAAAGAGAGGATGTTTAGATTTAAACTGCAAGAGGTTATAAACTCAGTATTGAGCTACAGTACGACTCTGCATATCCTCTCGCTATAGCCTTTCCTTCCTGTCAATAGCACTTTGGAGGCGGATCGCCTGATGTGAGATATCGGGCAAGTCACGCAGCTGCACATCAGCTCTCTCTCGCACCGTCCTCTTGTACCGTAATCGTCTCCCCTAAATGTTACCATCACCACATTACCCAACTATTCGCATAACAAAAACCTTCTCTAATCATGTCTATAAGTCCCCCTCACGTATCCAATCCAGAACCCCTATTCCATACTGCAATACTCACTACAAACAGTTTACCTACCCATACCATGATATCAGTAATAACATGATACCATCTGGCAGAGAGCTGTGCCTAGTGTCTAGTTGGAAGCTTGAGTGGTTTCAGGGTTGGAAAGTGGCAGAGATTGAATATTTGAGAAGAATTGTTATTGTGCATCGGTCGACAGGTGCAGGCTCACGTTGGTTGGGTCCGTCACTCTTGTAAATGTAAGGTAGTATCAACGTTGAGGGGTTCGGGTTTGGGTTTGGATGTGTAGAGCAGAGCAGAGCAGAGGGCAATTAATTGTAGGATCATGCAATGGGTTCTCCTGACCAGAATCAGATAGATAGTGGGAATTGCTTTAGTGGGCGATCCAAAGTTACTGCAAAAGATAATACTCGAATCGAGGGAGCTCCGGCTCCGTCTCCGTCCGGCTCCCCACCAATAGATTTAATGAAAGTAAAGACAATGCCACAGCCACAAACAGTGCTCACTTAAACTTCAAGCCGACAAGAAGCAAGATATACAAGTAACATCTTTCATTGTCATGAAATGCTGATTTCTCCCCGGGACGGACCGAACAGACCGCATGTCCACATGTAGGAAGTTAAGCCATGACCCAAAGAGGTAATTAACGCCAGCAATGGTCTATCTATCTGTATATCATATCATACCACCATCTATAATTTAGGTTTCGGTGCCCGCCACCACCAATACAAAACAAGCCTTACGCAAACAAAGAGGCCCGTCCCAAGCAGCAGGAGATCGAGCGGGAGGAAGACAGCTGCAAGGAGGAACCCCAGGCCCGCTTTGCGGGACCGGGAGAGCGTTGCATCTGAGAGGCCTCCTGCACTTTCACGTTTATGCTTGTGAGGCTGCTTGGAAGCTGGGTAATCGGAGTCGGAGTCGGAGGGGGTGGGGGTGGATTCCTCATCTGGTCATTGGAAAGAGAAGCCACTGGGGAACCCCTGAGGAGCCCCTCTGCGTCCTCCACCACCACCGGGCATCCCCCCGCCAAAACTGTGGAATCCTCCTCCACCGCCACGTCCACCATTCATTCCGCTGCCTCCTCCTCCCATCTGTGCGCCGAACATTTGCATTAGGATCTCCGGGTCGATGTTCATCCCACCGCCACCCATGCCGCCGCCTCCGAAACCTTCGCTCGGATCTATTAAGTCTTCGCCACTGTCATAGCGTGCTCGTTTCCTATCTCCTTGTTAGTAACTGGCTATTGATGGGAGTAAAAAACAGGGGTAACATACTCAGAATCACTCAGCGTCTCATACGCCTCCCCAATATCCTTAAATCGGTTTGCCGCATCCTCATCATCAGGATTCTTATCTGGATGATGTATGATAGCTGCCTTGCGATACGCCTTCTTGATCTGGTTATCATCCGCATCCTTCTCCACCCCAAGAATCTTATAGTAGTCCTTCCGCTTGCTCTTCTTAAGCTCTAGCTCAGCCTTGCGCACTTCCTTGGCGATACTTGCATCTTGTGGGTCTTGTTCTTGCAATTCCTTAAGCTCGCGGACTGCGGATTCCCAGTCACCTGATTGACCGAGTGCGTTGGCTTTGGTTTTCTTGGCTTTGGTGTAGGAGGGCTCGAGCTTCAGGGCTTGCTCGCAGTCTGCAATGGCGCCTTTGTAATCTTTGAGTTGGATACGGCACAAGGCGCGGTTTTGCAGGAGCTTGGAATTCGTGCCACGGTTTATGGGGTCGACTTCCAGTGCTTCGGTGTATTTGTCTACTGCTGATATCCAACGCCCAGCTTTGTAGTTAGCATTCCCGTCAGCCTTCATACGATCCAATTTTTGCACCATTCGAAGATACTTGACTGCGTCTCGGTAATCGGGGTCGCAGTTCAGGGCTTGGCGGAAATGTTGGATGGCTTTTTCGTTTTCTCCTTGAGCGTAGAGTGCTCGGCCTCGTAAGACCAATGCCTCGGGATCCTTGTTGTTACTTCGTAGTAAGGACATGGCAATATTCTGAGCATCACCCAACGCATTCACATTCCCCATCTTCAAGTACGCCTCTCCTCTCATGAGTTGCCATTTCCTAGGCTTAGGAGCACCAATTCCAAGTAATTTTTCAGCCTGGTCAAGAGCATGCAAGGCCATAGAACCAGTTGTCCCGTTCTTCAATGCATCTTCTGCAACATCAATATGTGAAATCATTGCCTTGGCAGAAGCGGTATCCTTTGCAGAAGGAGGAGGCTGGATTCGTGCATATGTGTTGAGAGCATCCTGGGGCCGGCCTAAGCTGGTGTATATGCGTGCTAACCGGAGGAGGATCTTGGGGTTATTGGGGTCGAGTTCATCTGCACGCGTGGCATCTTCTAGAGCATTGGCATATTGGCCTGCTGAAATATATGCGGCGGCACGGTTGTTGAGATAAGTTGCCGATGAGGGTTGTGCTTCGACGGCTATAGAAACCAAGTTAGAAGTTGCTCTCGTATTAGTTTGGGCGTACATACCTTTGGTGTATTCCTCAATGGCTTTCTTGTACTCCTTCGCCTTGTAATGCTTGTTGCCCGCATTCTTGAATGCTTCGGCCTCCTCTGGTGTTGGAGCAGCTGGGGTTACAGGACTGGAGGGGTTTGACTTGTGAGGGGGAGGGGCGGGGCCTTCTTCCTTCGCACTGCCGTTTACATTGTTTGTCTTTGGCGTATCGACAGAGCTTGGAGCTTTTGCTTGAGGTTGAGGTTGAGCTTGAGGTGGGGGAGAGACGGGAGCCCCGGCTGGTGACCCGGCTGGGGCCTCGCTGTCAATGTCCATGCGATCTGGGTCTGACATGGCGGACAGTGCAGAGAACCTGCGAAGCTGGTCGGGAGGAAGGTTGAGGGGGTGGGTGGTTTTTGGGTCGAAGGGGGTGACGTGGGGAGTTATTATTATTGGGACCAGGTTTTTGGGAGGACCGGCTGTTTCGAGGGGATCCTTGCTCTGCCTTGTCCTTGTGACTTTCGTCTTTGGCCTTGCTCGACTTGCTCGACTTGCTGGAGGATATTTTCTTCAACGGCGAGCGTGATCGATGCGAGTGGGTGTGGGATTGGGATTGAGATTGAGAGAGGGCCTCGTCGCCGCTGGTAGAGCCTGACGTCTTCTTTGAATTTTTAGGGGCCTTTTGAAAGAATTGCATCGAGAATTTGAAAGGGACTTAGATGGGGATGGGATAAGTGCCCGTCGTGTGAATTCGAACCCAACGGACTGGTTCCCGCTGTTTAGTGAGGAAAATGGACGCTGTGGTTGGCTGGCTCTGGCTCTGGCTTCACTCAGTCCGTTAATCCATGCACCCGACTGCTGAGACAGAGAGAGATCTGTAGATAGGATAGGATAGGTAATGGTCGCGAAGTATTTATTGTACAAAAGCCTGGTTTGGATACTGATCGAGTTGCGTAGATGGATGGATGGATTGATGGCAAGAGAGTAGTTCAGTTCGCTGGAGCCTTGAGAGATCTGATTGCCTGCGTCTGTCTGCTGGCTGCGCGTCAATTGATTTTCTCTGATTTGCTCTGCTTGCTCGGAATCTCTTTTTTTTTCTTCAGTCGCTTCTCGAAGCTTCCATGAAATCGATCGAAATTGAGTGGGACTTTGACGGCGGAGGATTCAATCTTTTCTACAGAAGAAGGAAATAAATCTATTCCAATTAATTAATGCGATGAAGTTTTGATTTCTCAGTGAAATATCTGTTCCCAAATACGTGGGTGGAAAGAAGTCTTGTTCATTTCATTTCATTGCCATTGCCGCCTATCACTCACCCTAGACAGACGCTGGGACTGATCATCCAACCAACCCAACCGCGCCATTCAGAGATCGTTAATCTATATAAATTTGAAATCTTTACTGTGGTGCGCATGTCATCTTTGTAATGGTAAATCGGTGCGAGTATTGGAGGTTTCATGGTTTAGGTGATTGAAATTGCTAGTCGCCTTTCCATCCGATGATGATACTGTAATCTCTCACCTCAGGTCGAATATAAATTTCTATTATATGAATTTGAATACTTGGTGAATCCACACTATGCAAATAATACGATGAATTTCACATCATTTGAAGTTTCTGACTGAACTCCTATAAACTCAATGATGATCAATTCTACTCCTGGTATCCTTTCTAACTCCAGGAAATGCTATTCAAAACAACCCAACCACCGAACGCTAATTCAAGTACACCGGGACACCATATACACACACAGCGGCTGCATTCAAGTACCGCAAGTTACACGCCTCTCTCCCCTTCGCAACTGCCTCAATCAGCGACATCGCCCCTATCACCACCGGCCCTTCCTTCTTCTTCCCCTTCCCTTTCTTACTCTCACAACCCTCAAAGAGTCCCCAGTGCTCAAAAGTAACCTTCGCAAATCGATCAATGTCCTTATCCGTAACGTCCCACAGCGTAGCCACCACAGCAGGAGAGCCAGCATGCATATAATTGATCGGCGTTCCATACGGCTCGAACTCGCCGACCTCAGTAAGAGCACCACTGCTGCAGCCCATGAGGAACGTAACAGCACATGTCTGGAGTTTCCGAATTTCTCGCGCCCGGATATATTGTGCTCCGCTCCCATGACCAAAGTATAAGAATATATCCTTGCTCTCCAAACTCGCCTTGAATTCCGCTTCCGTTGGCTCCCGCTTAACGATACTGTCCCATTCATCCAGAGTCTGAAGGGCCTTCCCAAATGTCGCCTGCGTGTTTTTAAGATCGCCGTCTGGGTTGAGGATATACGAGCCTTTCTCCCTCCTGGCATAACACCCCTCTGGGAGATTATCTGATGGAGAAGGTTGCGAGGCGAGAACGCGGTCTCGCAAGCAACTAAGTGATGGCAACCGAGAGACAGCTTGACCTTCCATACACGGCAGTGACTCCCATGGGAACGAATGGAGAGCCTTGTCCAATATCAAGATTGTATGCATTCCCTCATCCGAGTCGCCAGATGCACGAACTGCTTCATGGTAGCAGCGTAGAGCATCATGCGTTTCAATAACAATGGAATCAAAGTCGATTTCGGCGTATGCATTCAGTTCACCATGGAATTGCAGAACGTCAATGACGAAGTATAGCAAATCGGTCAGCGGTTCCGAGAAGTCACAGTACTCGTCTGCAGCATCTCCTAGGCCAATGAACAGATCCAAGATTCGTGAATCCAAGGTGATGCGAGGACTTGCATTCTTCTTCTTCGTCTTCTGTCGGCGTGATGGGAGGTGCTTATCGAGGATATTGTGAAAGGACTTTTGGAAGCGTGCCAGTAATTCCGGCCGTCTGGCGTGTTGAGAAAATATGCCTGTAAAACCCCCTAACCAAACCTTCTCGATATTCTCAAGGAGATCCTTCAGGCGTGCATCTAATGCTTCTCTCTCCTCCCACCATGCGGTCTTAGCTTCTTTCCCAATCGTGCCTCGCGCATCATGTGAGCTTTCGTTTGCTAGCTCGATGATTTCTCGAAGTTCGGATTGACCTTGCTCAAAACCGAAGACTTCTTCGTCCGCATCCATAGAATTGTGTCGTCCCAATGGCAGTCGAAGAACGAAAGGACTGTGGCCTGCTTGTAGTTTGGTGATTGAGAGCTCGTTGCGACTATCACTCAGGGAAATTGATATTGCCGTCCATGATTTAGGTATAATATCGACGTAATCTCTTTGGAATCGAGATAGATCATGTGGTAGCCCAAGGCTAGATCTTCTTGGATCAGCTGAAGATATGCTCGGCCAGCATGAATCATCTAGTTTGAAGGCCGATGAAATATCCGTATGTATGGCTTTGTGCTCACGACGAAGCGCAAGATTTCTTGCTGTCTCTGCTGATAATTAGTAAGAAACCAAAAGGTCGTCAAATGAAGGCATACCAATAGTGCAGCTAGCAAAACCCGGGTGAGTAATGGATCTTCCCTTTGCGTGACCAGCGGCAGAAAGCAGAATGGAAACACTGTTGAGGATAGCAGATATCCGGTGGAGAAGACCAATAGGAGCGACACAAAGAGCAACAGAATGTGCTTCAATGAGGTGCTCTTGAGCTTGGCGCAGTCTGTCGAAGAAGCTATCAGGAGCAGGGCTTTTCGCCCTATTTATGTCCTTGGCATTTCTGGTAACCTGTGATTTCTTGGGCGGTGATGATCGAGTGACGGATAGCCTATCTCCGCTCTTCTCGCTTTTAGAAGGACCCATAACTGAAGGGAAAGATATGGTCGAGTCCTGTAAGACTGAATACACTGGATCCGCAGTCATCTGTTCCATGCTCTGAAGCAACAACTGCTTAGCGATCGCAAGCCCATGATCTACTGCCTCCAGTTGAGCATTCGGGGCAGCACCAAGCCCATCCAGAAGGGCAAGGGATTCGACAAACTTCTTGCTTTCCATCAGAGCCCGAGCTTTCTGACGAAGCACCATACCTTTGAGGGATATGAGCTGACTACACTCGCCGGCAATGGATGGAGTAGGCTCCACCGGGGACTTTACGCGGGTGACAACTTTGCTTTTTATAGCGGCTTTCGGACGAGGTAGAGCCTTTCGTTTTGCAGGTGCCTTTGGCTTGGAAAGTGCAAGTTGAGACATTTTGGTTTCGAGGCCATGAACTGGATTAGAGATCCTGTCTAGTGTACCGATGTGGTCTACACTGACTAGACGATTCAGAACTTCTTCTGCTGCTTCATATGCGACTATCTCAGCATCTTTGTCCCCTAGGAGCCCATGCATGTTGCCGAAATGGTACGACAAGATAACTGAATCCAGACCTTTCTCGGGCAAAGAAAGCTGCTGAGACTCTGCAAGCAATTCCGACCCCTTCTCAAGATCACCAGCCTTGAGTAGTGTGTTCCCCTTCAGTGCTGCTCCCATGGCTTGGCGAGCCTCAGCGCCAATATGTTTCATGAGTTGATACCCTTGGTCTACATAGTAGAGTGACTCCTGGAACATGCCGTGATGCGCATATACTAGCGCGAGATGGTTAAGGCTCCGAAAGAACGGTGTGACCAATGCCCAAAAGTTAGATCCGGTGACTGGATCAGTTACGGGAGCAACGTTTACTGTTGAAGTCGACATATTCATTTGAGAGAATTCATCGGCTAATTTCTCCGTTTCAGACTTCCGGTTCCTTGATCGCAAATGTTCTTCGGTGTTTGCCCATGCTCGTCGTAGCAATCTAACGCTTTGTCTGGCAAGGTTGAGCGATATGTGAGCGGAGCCGCGCTGGAGTGCGAGCATAGAGTATATCGAATATGCATTAGACATCAGAAGGTTCTTACTAGTCCTCTCCTCTAGTGTCAATACTATATTCTTGCCGGATCTGAACTCGGTCTCTTCGGTATGTATGAGTTGAGCGCGTGCAAGTTGATCCTCGCTAATGTTTTGTTAGATATTATTCTTCCAAGCTTAGCAGCAATACTTACCACTTTTCAAAATTGCCAATAGCTAGCGAATACTCGGAGGAAGACAGATGCAACTGCATCATCGCAGGTGAAGAAACTCCGTTTTGGTGACTGTAACTTTCCGCCCTGTCCAGCGCTAGTCCTGCTTTGCCAGAATATCCAAGTTGAAGCCACTGGGATCCTAAGTTTGTGAAGCCAAATATCAGGTCGTCGGGGCTTGTATTGGCCCCCCGAAGCTCCATGAAATCAGCAATCAATCGCAACACCGCTAATCGGAGGGCCTCGAGACCCTTCACCTGTAAGTAGTCTGCGATAGATTGAAGGTGGCTCAAAAGATCAGGAATGTCCTCAATTTGACGCTCCAAGGTTTCCAAATCTCCACAAACAGTTCTCATATCGGACCAAATAACCAAACTTCGTTTTAGGGCATCAACTGGTGGGAGACCCTTCATGAGTTCTATTGTTGAGATTGCCAAAGTTTGGAAATGAAGCAAATAATTCCGCAAAGACTCATCCTTTGTTCCATCTACCACGCAGGTTGCAATGTCTTCAGCTCTGAGCTCTTCTTGCATAATCTGGGTGAGTTCTTCCGAAAACTCCAAGTCGTGAGTTTGAATTTGAATGAGCACTCGGAGTCTGCGTATAGGGTATTTAGACTTAGTGTATACGGAAATCAGCGCTTCGAAGGTTTTAATTGCAAGATCCCAAGCCGCAGCGGTGTTACAACTTTGATCAGACAATAGACGGGATTGGTGCTCCAGCAGCACTCCCTTTTCATCATCTGTCCAAGAATCGTCCACAAGCGGGGTATGCAAACTAGAATCCAGGTACTTAAGCTGGACCTTGAGGAGAGTTTGTACGGTTCGAGCAAGCATTGACGTCTCGTCATCTTGATTCCAGGCTTTCCGGAGAGGTTGAGAAGCCGCAGTTACTGCAACTGCAGACAGAACACCATTTTTAACCATTTCGTCCCGGAGATCGACAAGGATTTTGAATAGCTCATCGTAACGACCAACGATTTTGCAAATCCCAGCCATTCTTTCTAGCTTCGTTGAAAGCAACGCCGCCTTTTTTTCAAGCTGTGATCTCGTTCGAACACAATCTACTGATCGCCTTAAGACTCGCAGCTGTTGAGTTTCCTTCAAACCATCCAGATTTCGGCGTTCGTTGAGGAAGTAGGTGTAGTAAATATTAGATATTTTGACATGATATGACTGGGTCGGTTTTCCATCCAATTGACCTTCCATAGACTTTAGATCAAGCCGATCTAGTAAAACTATACAATCCTGGAGCTTCGAGTCTAGTAGGTCCCATGTCAACTGCCCTTCACCAAGAAGCATCTTTAACACAAACAGGGCAGAGTCTATTGAGTGAAGTCCCGATTTGGCGATGAATTGCCGCCGTTGCTCGTGACGGACGATGTCTTTTGTTGAAGAATGAACATCGAGAGGTTTCCCGAGATACCGCGAACATAATCTGGGGCATATGAATACTAAAGATTCGCACATTTGCCGCATACCATCACTTAACTTAGAATCCTGTTGGCTAGTTGGAGATGATGCAGCCAATACTGATATCGCAGCTCTCCTAGCAAAGGAAACTTCAGTCATCAGGTCATCTATCTCTAAAGATTCGCCCTTCAAAGGCCGTTCGAGGACCTCCAATAGAGTGAGAAGCAAATCCTCATCATCATTCCGTGAAGGTCGTTTGAGAGTGAGGGCCGCCAATCTAGCAACGATGAAGCTCATTTTGGCATCCGAATCAACCTTCTCCTCAAATAACCCTTTCAGGTCCAAAGTCCAGTGGATCGCATCTTCAACCAAATTCGCCTCCTGAGCTAGAGAACTGAATGTTCTGCAGATGCCAGTCATAACTGACCTACTTCCTCCCTGGCCTGCGTCTACACATTCTGAAAGCAGTTGCTTCAGGTCGACAAAAGCCGCGGAAGCTATCTGGTAGGTCTCGCGTGCTCCACCTGGGTTTCGGCGAGCAAAAGTAGAGAGACAGCGAAGAAATGGATCGAAAAACTCTGTTGCGTGATTTGCTTTATGGCCTGCGAGCTTCCACCATGAAATGCGGTTATGGAAGGCCAAAGTTTGCAGTTGGAACGAGGCCTCGGGGGTTACACTGAGTCTTGATTCAAGAGCCAGAGCATCGTCCGAACTCGAGACGCTTGGACATAATGACAGTAGGAGGTCGGAGAGCGATTGTAGCTGACGTGCGATCTTGTTTGTTGGTTTCGACTCCTTGGCAGCCAGTAGCAGCAAATTCGTCGGAGATGAAGGGTGCGACGGGTCTAAAATAGGCAGGGCAGCTTCTACGTTTTTCTGTTTTCGAGACGAAGTCATAAGTCGTAGGATGTGTAGCTGAGATTGAATGACTAATCCGAGTTTCGTCCCGCTCAGCTTTGTGCTTCCGAAATCCAAAAGCTCTGCTAGAGTCTGCGGAGTCGTCGTGACATTTGCCTTCGATGTCAATGTCCTCTTTGGTCCATCTTCCGTATGCAACCTCTTTTTCAAGATCCGTAACTCCTTTGTCGCCAAGTCGTCCAATCCAAGAGTTATGAGTTTTCCAATCAACACTGACATGCCATTCTCGAGTTGAAGGGGTGGTAGGTCGATTCCTGGTAATTTGGCAGTTTGTAATGCTCGGAGGCACGCGAAAGCTAGACGGGCACATTCTGCGGTTGACCTATGTCCAGATATTGTGATAGAAGCTGAAGATGAAGATCTGCTTGGCCTAGAAGATATGCTGGGCGAAGTCGATACTCTATTTAGTGATCTCGGTTGTAATGGGGATTGTGGTGCTGAATTCGAACGTATGAGTGGTCTTCGGGCTGTACCTTTAATGAGGTCCCGCGAGGATGCTTGCCGTCGTACTGAACTAGACTTTGGGGCCTTTATGGCTTCGCTGAGAGACTTGAGTGTGGCATTGATGACTTCAGTAGCCAAAATCGACCTCTCTTTCGGCGACAATTGGTTGGCGTCTTTAAATTCCGTCCTATCCTCCTTCTCTGCAAATGAAACCTTTCTGCCCCTAGTTTTCGCAACTGCTGATTTCGTAGCCTTGGATGATAGCGCAGGCTTTGCCGGCTTCTTTGAATTTCCTGCTAGGGGTTTGGGTACAATCGTGATTTTTGGTAACAGAAGGTCGCTGAGTATTGTTGCTGTCGCGGCTGTGCATGTTGTTGTCGAGCCCACAGCGGCGCGTATCGAGTCGGCCGTTTCGTGAAGTGATGCCATCATGATACATACAGATCACGGAAAGGTACTGTGCAATGTTATTGATTAGACATTATTCAAAACTGCGCCAGAATGCAATGCTAAGATGTTGGCATTTGTTAGCATTTCGAAATACTGTAAAGCTTTAGGTAGTGCTAAGTCAATAGCTTGCCTAGCAACCGCCCAGCAACCGGCTTCCACAATCACTGGACCGAAAGACGGAGCAGATAATTTAGCAAAAGGAGAAGCATCCCAATTACTGCTTAAGAACACAACAATGAACAGATCAACAATACTTCGCAGAGTGCTTCTTGCGCCACCTACCATCCGCAGCTCCCTCGTCCATTCCCCTCGATCCTTTCAAACCGCATTACCTCGACAATACGCAGCCTCACCCGGTGTTACGGATGGATCATTCTGGCGCAGTCTAATACCCAAGCCTCTGCGTGGGAGCTCTCCAACCGCTGCGCTAAAGAAGAAGGCCAAATCGAAAGAATGGAACCCGGCCACCTTTTACATCATTATATTCCTGTTAATTGGGTCCATGTCAATTCAAATGATTACGTTGCGGAACGAGTCTGCAGCGTTCACTCGGAGGGCTGATGCAAAGATTAGCTTGCTGAAGGAAATCATTGAGAGAATCAAAAATGGAGAGGATGTCAATGTAGAGGGGCTATTGGGGACTGGGGATAAGCAGAGGGAGAAGGAATGGGAAGAAGGTATGGGCCCTTGCTTTACATTATTTGACTTCAGTCGGTTGCTAACGTACTTCCAGTTCTACAAGAAATTGAGGAGGAAAATGCGACATGGACAGAATCACGAGAGAGAAACCCGAAACATGAAGAATCTACCCCACTTACCTCACAAGCTGCGAATTTACCCGCAAAGCCAGAAGAACCTCCGAAACCAACGAAGAGTAAAGGTCCAACAGGGTTCTACTAGAGCATTGGCATATATAATGTATAATTTGTTTGGCTATTCTATGATAGCATATCTCTGAACACTTTACTGTTGCTATGCTGTCCACTTGAAGGATCTGAGGCTTCATTATTCATATGGGTAGGTCTTGTACGTTTCAATTGATCAACAAGACCTGGAAGGACTTTATCAGTTCCCAATTCCACTCGAACGCCGGCTTCTCCTTGTTGGCTCATGGGCAAATTCTGAAAGAACGCATCTTCTCCTCTTACTCCACCAAGGTTCAGGATTCCAACCGGCATGCCGCTTTCTTTTGCTCGCCTGGCAAGTCTCCAAGCAGAATACGTAGCAAGAGATGTACCCAAAACTAGCAGTCTGCCCGAGCCATCGATGGCCTGCTCTGCTGCTTCCTTTACTTTGCTAGCTATGCTTTCTCCAAACATTACTACAGATGGTTTCAATATTCCAGCTGTGTTGGTGGGTACCCAGGCACCGTCTTGGTCGATTTCAACCTTTGTCTGCGTTCCATCCCCAGCTATGGGTGGATTTGTCAGACAGTGGGGACAAGCTGGATATCTGAACGTCGAATATGGAGCCCCAGGCAAATCAACATCTCCATCCGGGTTTGTCTTCATTCCTTTCGCACGCCTTTCATCTGGGTTCTCTGTATCCAATGCACCGGATGCAACTGCTTCAGCCAGGAAGGAAGCCCATGCTGGGTTGAGTCTTGCGAGTGACTCTTGGAAAGCCTCTCGTGGCAGATCATTATGGCAAGTCACACAGGTCAGAGCTCGCAGGTATCCGTGTAGCTCCAGGGTAGGAAGGTCTGGGTGGGCTGCCGAATGGAAAGAGTCGACATTCTGTGTGATAACAGTCCGTACGATTCCCATATCCCCGAGAGTTTTGATAGCATAATGTGCCGCGTTTGGCTTCGCCTTGTGTAGATTCGTCCATCCTAGAAAACTTCGAGCCCAATATCTCTTCCGTGCTTCGTGATTTGCCAAAAATTCATGGTAGTAGATGGGTCGGTATGTCCTGTTCTGACGATATGTTCCATTTGTGCCCCTGTAGTCGGCTAGTCCTGACGCGACTGATATACCTGCTCCGGATAATATCACCGTCGATTGCGAATCGCCAGCAGCTCCATCTCGTGCCAGTAAGGTTGGCGAAGGTGGGGCTGTAAGGAATCTTGACAGAGCCGCAATGGCCCCAGTAATTGTATTGGCATTACGTGGAATGATACTGGGAGGAGGGAGGGGACCCGTATACGGGATTCTCATAAGAGGCGCTTTCATTGAGAGAGAGGCATTGAGACTGGGGTGAAGAGGCGCCCAACAGGTACGAGGAGAATAGATAATACCCGTAGATGGTTTGAGGTTATTCGCGTCATTACTCGCACACCCATGTAGTGTATGTAAAGTAGTGGAAATAGTGGCGGAGTGACCAGTCAAGGCAGAGCGCTAGTCATCGGGCTCTCTTATTTACCGTAAGGTAGGTATGATTCGATTCAGGGCCTGTACCTTTTTTTGTAGTCTGACGCCTCGGCTTGCGTTGCGTTTTTCTTTGCCAAGCTAGAATTGTATTCAAGATCCTAGATGTCAACGTATTTATTTTTGTTTGAGACTTGGATGCCCTTCTTCTTCTATAGACACGCGTCGTGAGTCGCGGTTTGACCTGTAAGAGGTCTTACCCCGCCACCTATTCGCCATTTATGCCTTTCCTCTCCTCCAACCGGGCACGCTCGTTAAGGCTTGTCACATCTACCGCTGCCAACTTGAGGCTGAATTTAAGGACACGTCTATCCCAATCCCGAGTTCTCCAAACCGCATCCTTTGACCCTTGCTTCTTACATATCAGACATCCCATACACCTACGGTCCTTCCCGAAATTCCAGTCCTTAACAAATAACATCAGCCCTCGACATCGCCCAATGGCTGCCCTCACCCAGACACAGACGCGCTCTCATGGCGGCCATTCGCATCACCACCACCATGACAATACCTATCTCACTTCTAAGAATAAGAAGGATGCGGGGGTGCGGATAACACGGATTGGCCTCTACTCCAATCTGGGCATGGCCGTTGCGAAAGGGGTAGGTGGATATGCTTTCAATTCCCAATCAATGATTGCAGATGCATGGCATAGCTTGACGGATTTGGCCAGCGATATCTTGACCCTGGCAACAGTATCGTGGAGCTTGAGGCCCCCCACAGCAATGTTTCCCACCGGGTTCGGGAAGGTAGAGAGTTTGGGCTCTTTAGGGGTCAGTGGGATGCTGTTATTTGGAGGGTGCTTCATGTGCTTGAACAGCTGCGAGATTCTCTATGGGCACTTCTTCCTCGATGCCCATGCAGCCGCAGAAGCAGCCATTCATGCACACGGCCATAGCCATAGTCATGCTGCAGCTGGTCCCAGTCTTCATGCCGCATGGTTAGCCGCTGGAACAGTAATTCTGAAAGAATGGCTATACCAAGCAAGTAAGATGCTATATTCTAACCCTTTACCTGAGATTACACTAATACTCCTTCCAGCAATGAAAGTAGCCAAGGAACGAAAGTCCTCAGTCCTCGCTTCGAATGCAATCCATCACCGAATCGATTCCCTCACTGGTATTGTCACCCTCTTCGCCATTCTCGGCGCAAACTTCTTACATGATGCTGCTTGGTTGGATCCCGTCGGTGGTCTGTTGATATCACTTTTGGTTATAAAAGGGGGGTGGGGAAACACTAAGTCGGCATTATACGAATTGGCAGACAGAGGAATCGACACTGAAACAAAGGCATCAATTACAAGGGCTACCAAGAAGAGCCTTGCAGAATTGAGGGACGGCTCACAAATAGAACTACGAGAGGTTGAAGGTGTGAAGTCTGGACAAAACTTTCTCGTGGACTTGCAATTGGCCGTGCCAAAATCATGGACCGTGGAAGATATTCGAGAGGTAGAAGAAGGAGTTAGACAAGTTGTAGGATCCAAGGTTCGAGGTGTACGCCGGGTGAAAGTCCGTTTCGTACCAAAGGGCGAAACATCCATAGCACTGTTTGATGAATTCATTAGTGGGGATGTCTCGCCTCGGGAAAGCCCCGAACCTGAAGAGCATGATCACGATCACGACCATGATCATGCGAAGACGAATGGGAATGGAAATGGGAATGGCAACAAGAAAATCCAATGATAAGAGACGATTTGTACATATACTGGAAGCTTGTGAGCGGGTTCTAGGCATTTCTGATATTTGGCGTTACACCATATGCGAGAGAGCACCTCCAGCATTGTTGGGAGACTTTTACTCAAGAGAGGCTGGCGTTATGGGGAAATCAATGCATTTATAAGATGTTATGTATCACAAGTTTATAATGTACTGATTTTAGAGGATTCTATCGACATGCAATTGGTGCGGGTACTGGTGGGGTGTGTCTCCAGGAATTCTCACGATAGTTTCTTTTCGACAGCAGAAACGCCACCCTAGAGGATTTTGGCCTATCAATTGTCCAAGCTCCCCTGCCACTGCAGATGATGTAAGTCTCCCCACGCCGCCCAAAGTCCAAGCTCAAGACCGCACATCCGATCCCTCTTGCTTAAAAAGGGCAGCTGGGAAGCGGTTTTGCTTTTGGGAATATCAAAGATAATTTCGAGGATACATATTGCAAACACCAAGTACTCAATACACATCTATTAGTATTAGTACAATGCCTTCCCAACTTGATCAAGGGCCTCTTTACCTGGGCTTCGATCTCTCAACGCAGCAACTGAAAGGTAGCACATATCCTTATCTTCAGTAACACGCTAACAGTTCTAGCAATCGTTATCACTTCGAGCTTGAAAGTCTTGTACGAAGCAAAAGCTGATTTCGACGCGGATCTATCCAAATATGGAATCAAGAAAGGCGTCCATGTCAACGAGGCAGAGAGAGAAGTCTATGCTCCAGTCGCCATGTGGCTGGAAGCTGTGGATTTAGTTCTCCAGCGACTAAAAGAAAAAGGAACACCATTCCAACGGGTTAAGGGTATATCAGGTGCTGGTCAGCAACATGGAAGCGTTTACTGGAGCAAGGCGGGCGAGACAATACTCGGAGACCTGGATCCAAAGGATACTTTGATTAACCAGCTCGAGAAGAAGGCATTTGCCCATCCCAATAGTCCAAATTGGCAGGATGCAAGTACTCAGAAGGAGTGTGACGCTTTCGATGCTGCTCTTGGTTCACCAGAGAAGCTTGCTCAGGTCACTGGTAGTAAAGCACATCATGTAAGTCTTGTCTCAACACAAACTCAAAGTATGTAAGCTGATTATTGGATCCATTTCAGCGCTTCACCGGTCCACAAATCATGCGTTTCCACAAGAAGTATCCAGATGTTTATCGAGCAACTTCACGCATCACTCTTGTCTCGTCTTTCCTCGCATCTGTGTTTCTGGGGAAGATAGCTGTGTTTGATATTAGCGATGTTTGTGGCATGAACCTATGGGATATTAATGCTGGCGCATGGTGCGAACCACTTCTCACGCTCGCGGCCGGTGAAGATGGCCTAGACTCACTGAAGCAGAAATTGGGAGAAGTGCGAGAAGATGGCGGCGGTTCCTTAGGGAACATCTCCTCTTACTTTGTTTCCCGCTACAATTTCGCCCCTAACTGTGGCATCGCCCCTTTCACGGGCGACAATCCGGCTACCATCCTCGCACTACCTCTTCGACCACTCGACGCAATCGTTTCCCTCGGAACGTCAACCACATTTCTAATGTCCACTCCGAAATACTTCCCAGATCCAGCCTACCACTTCTTCAACCATCCCACCACCGCCGGCCTCTACATGTTTATGCTCTGCTATAAGAATGGCGGTCTAGCCCGTGAAAAGGTCCGCGACAGCCTTCCTAAACCAACATCCTCTGATTCCTGGTCGACCTTCAACGAAGCTGCCCTCTCTACACCACCACTCGGGCAGAAAAGCCCTTCCGATCCAGCAAAACTCGGACTCTACTTTCCGCTCCCGGAAATTGTCCCAAACGTCCGAGCAGGAACATGGCGCTACACCTGCGCCTCTGATGGCTCGGACCTGCAGGTATCAGAGAAGAAATGGGGCACCGAAACAGAAGCTCGTATTATAGTGGAATCACAAATGTTATCTCTGCGTCTCCGCTCCCACAACCTAACCCATAAACCGTCCCCCGGGCTCCCGCCACAGCCCCGTCGTATCTACCTAGTAGGCGGTGGCTCGCTCAATCCCGCCATCGCACGCATCATCGGGGACGTCTTAGGCGGTACTGAGGGTGTGTGGAAGCTAGATGTTGGGGGTAATGCTTGTGCGTTAGGGGGGGCTTATAAGGCCGTTTGGGCTATGGAGAGGAATGAAGGAGAGAGTTTTGAGGATTTGATCGGGGAGAGGTGGAAGGAGAGCGAGGCTGTTGAAAAGGTTGATGAGGGGTATAGGAAGGATGCTTTTGAGCGGTATGGAAATGTTCTGAAGGCTTTTGAGCAGATGGAAGGAGATGTTTTGGCGGGCGAAGAAAGGAATCTGTGATTCTTTTCATTGCAGGTGAAAGGCTTGGTGTGGGAACAACCCGCTTCTCGAAGGGGAGTCGGGTTTGTGTTTTCCTATAGATTTGGTTTGCTTACTACTTTCCTGGTGTTGGTTCGGACTTGCTTTACTTGCTTCCCAAGCGGTGTGGGGGTCATTTAGATCTAGAGCCGCTTTACAGAATGTCTCACGACTCCTAGAAAATGAAATCATGATTAACTAATCGCCTCTACTTAAGTTCGATTGAAAGGTAGTCGAGGAGTGTCGCAATTTGATACGATGCGAAGTCATGCTTTGATTCTTTCATTCCTTTGCTGGTTTGTCTACACGTATATTTGTTTTCTAAAGATCATGTCCAAGGCAGACGACATTTCACTTGTTTAGTTACTTCCGTATAAACTCCCCTCCTTCTCGCCATCCTGCTCCCAACAAGTTCCCAGTGAACTTGAACGTTGCGCTTTATATCGTTCCCCTGTCTTAGCTTGCCCGCGATGATATCTTCGATTGGTCTGGTAGTAATCGGCTCCAGGTACCTATCATGAAACTTCCAACAACAGGGCGCCGAGCCCCCGTAGCAGATAGCGTCAAAGTACTCTGATTTCATTTCTTTGTGGCGCGCGATCGAGACCTTCTCGGGACCAACTAGGAGAGAGACGGTGGTGGTGCAGGAGATAACCCTATCTAGTCACTCAGTTAGTTGAGTTGAACTGGACTGATATTGCTGCAAGACTTACAATTTGCCAACTTCAGATCACTACCTAGGTAGATCTAGAATGATTGGCAACCTCGACTTTCAGCACAATAGACATAGATTATCATAGAATTTGTCTTGGAAGATGAGAGGCAAAACCACACTCAGAGCAATTAAGCCTCCTTTCGAGTTCAATCACTTTAGGCATATCATTTTGGAAAATTTGATGCTGCCTTACTGGATTCAGCAATAATGAACACAGTCACCTCGAAACCACGTAGATTGTGGCGACATCAAATCAATCCAAATGATACCTCCCAGCCGGATGCCAAAGATTCTTCTTGCACAGGCCTACAACTCATGCTTGCAACCTAGCGAATCCACACAAAAACACCCAACGACCCCACTTCGAGCTGTTGGAAATGCCACCGATCCGATCTTCTATTTACACCAGTCGTCAGGAGTCACCTTGTCTTCATCCTATAGCGAGTCACCAGGTTCATTCCAAGCGAATCCTCATGGAAGGCAGGCATGGACGGCATTCCCCTTTCTGTGGCCACAGCTCGCTCGCCTACTGTAGAAATCCATGTAACTACTCTCTCCACTCACATTACGAAAGTCGAGTGAGTATATACATAGATATCTAACATCTATCTTACAAGAGACTCTGCAAAACACCTAAAGCTTGGGATTAATACATACATGCATTCCAACAGTGAAGCATGGCGACGATGCTAGCTAGGCACGATACGATCCGAAGCCCACCGTGGAAGTCGGAAGTCGGCTCAGTATAACAAGAAACACTGCCGAGGAAGGAAAAGCAGAAGGAAAAGTAGATAAATGCTTAAGCCCCTCAAGCTTCCTCGCTGAAGGCCATACTGGGGCGTGGTGTGCATCGCTACGGAACCTGCCGAGTGATTAATTAAAAAGGACTACCACTTGGTTGTGTATAAGTATAAGACAACCGGATTCGGCTTCTCCATGACACGTTACAGGACCATCATACAAGACCGGGCTGTCTGTCTACAGTGCATATCACGCCGGTTAAATTATCCTCGAGACATTAAAGTAGAAAAGGCAGGCATAGCGGCCTAAATTAGATGAAAGTACCATTGTTTTCTCTACCGTTACAAGGAACTAGCCAAGTCCTTCACCACAGCCGATTAAGCATTTATCCATCCATACCTATGCTGCTGTTTTGTTTTGCGAGACTCAAAAGGAAAAAGACAACACATGACATGACAGCAAGCGCAAATATAATTTTCGAGGTGATTTTTGATAGGACTAAAAACGAGACTTGCTTCCGTGAAACAAGCCCAGTTCCATTTTGATAATACCAGAGTTCCACTTCAGATTTCCATTTCCATTTTTCGCATCGTATTGCCAATCCAGTTCAGTTCAATTCAGTAAAAGATCCCACCCATAGCTTGCTTAACCCATTGCACAAAGTTTTTTGCTCGTTCGATTTGTTTATTTCCCAAGAGAGGAGCACAGGAGACGTATTGTAGTAGTTGTGAGAAAATTTAAACGCACTACCAGGAAGATCGGAAGAGGGTTTTGTATGGGAGCAGATCTATGATCCGAGGCTGGGGAAGGCGCTCTTGTCTTCGGTGTTGATGGTGGAAGAGGGGCCAGCATTGTTGCGTGTGTTGCCACGGGGAGGACCTCTGAAGTCACCTCCACGGCCGCCACGTCCACCTCTGTCGCCGCCACGTCCTCCACGGAAGTTGCCTCTGTCGGCACGATCGCCACGGGGTGGTCCATCGCCACGACCACGGCCGCCACGGAAACCGCCACGTCCACGCTCGGGGGCCTCGACGAAGCGTTGGTCAATGTCAAGGGTTTGCTTCTGCTTGCGCTCACGCTCGCGCTTAGCCTTACCACCGGATCCAGCGACGAAATCCTCTTCTTCTTCCTTAGCAATTGCTTTGGCGTTGGCCCATTTCTTGTCTTCCTTGGACCCTTCGTTGGGCTTGCGAACGTTGAGAGCCTCGGCATTGAGAGCGGCCTTCTTCTCGGCAAGCTCTTCCAAGTACTCGGCATAAGACTTGCTATTGTCCTCAGGCTCGGCTTCAGCAGCTGCCTCAGCATCGACAGGAGCATCGCCGTCACCAGTCAATGCATCCTTTTGGTCGGCCTTGGCGAGAGCTTCACCAGCTTCCTCATCCTTGAGTTCGGCATCACCTTCGGTGGCACCCCAACCGTGAGCAGCTTGCTTCTCAGATTCACTGTATACATATTAGAATAGACCTTAAGATTGTGAAAATTTCAATTGCTTACCCTCCAACGCCGCGAGAGTGTCGGTCGAAGGTGCGGTTTCCGCCACGGCCGCCTCGTCCTCCACGGCCCTCGTAGGTACCCTGGGCACGCTCGTTTCTTGGGGCTCGGTCCTGTTGGCCAGCGTCACCGGTTGGCTTGCCACGGTTGTTGGAGCTACCGGCCTGGCGATCGCGGAATGCTGCATTTTGAATCGAATGTCAGTGGATGATCACTAAGAAGAAGAACACAAGTAAAGGTCCTGGGAATGGCTGGGTGTGCATCTAAAGTGATTTACTAACCTCCTTCGTTGCCATTGAATCCACCGCGGCGACCACCTCGGCTGTCAGATCCAGCGGCAGGTTTCGAAGCTGGTGCCTCTGCAGGAGCATTGCGCTTAGTTGTCCGGGCAGGAGTCTTATCGACGACCTTTACTGGTGGCTCGGGTTCCTTGTCGGAGTCTTCATCGTGGTTGTTTCCTATTTGTCACCTCGAATTAGCTGCGTGGCCAGAACATCAGGGTCCATTGGCAGAGGTTTCGTCATACCGAGAAGCTCGTAGAGGTTCTAAGAGTGCAGAGTCAGCTTCCGTGTCTCGAAGATGGAGTCAATGTTGTGTCGAGACATCTGCGCATTGTCTTTGATGTCTTTGGCAATGGCAATGGGGGGATGACGAACCTTCGAGGCAATTTGTGTGGACATCTTGTCCGCCTTCTCAAGCGCCTCCGAAGAAGGCCTTGCTATCGAGACAACAATTCGGAGATGGAGAAAATAGTAATCGAGACGGACAGGTTCCTAATGGCTAGGAAGCTGTCTCTCGAGTTGTTGCGTTGATAGACCTTGAGGGGGGAGATCTCGAAGTAGTTTGCTCACGGTCGCGGTCAGTCGTCAACGAAAAAGACTCAACCACAAAAAATGGAACCGAAGCTCCACTAGCGTTAAACACAGACTTGTTAGGGCAGGGCTTTGAGTTGATCATTTTCTGTCAAAATTCGGTTTTCTCACAATGTGCCAAACCTATTGATGCTGGATCTTTATATGCTGGTTTGAGATTATTCTATTTTATTTTCAAGTCTATTTTGGAGGTTTTCATTGACATACCTGAATTTATAGAATTATGTATGGTTTTCTGTGTGTGCGTTGCAAGTGCATAAAGTGCATAATCCGCGGCTGAACGCGTGAATTGCTCGCGAGAGAGAAATGTCAAGGTAAATAAAGGGGCGAGATGATATTCCGAGGGTCAACTTATGCAGGGGATTAGGGATGTCAAAGAATACGTGCCCTTATAGCAAACATCTCACGGCTTGCTTCGTCAATTGTGAGATATCACTCGCCTCAGTGAATTGTGCGGCACCTGGGTCGGTTTAACTAGGTGCTTCTAGATCTCTGTAGGCTCATAGAGCCAATGTATGTTCTGTACTGTGCGAGTATTCATCTCATTGAGCCTGTTGATTTTTGCTTGTATAGACAAAGAGGAGTTAACCCGTTTCCATGGGTCGCTATGTGACAAGACCAAACCACCTGCTAGCTACAACATCTCCAATGCTTCGCTATCCGAAGAAAGTTTTTGCTAGGACAGCCCTGGTGATCCAGGGTGTGTCATAGCACTTGCTCGAAAAGACCTTTCCCAAGTCTCGGGACAGAACCCCTGAAACTCCACCCTGGATCTCAGCAATGTCCTCCATCCTACAAAAGATAAGAAACGAAACCACCAAAGTGCATACCGTGGGTCCTATTCATTCATTCATACTCTCCATATACGCCGATGATCTGTTAAAGTGCGCCGTGTAATGCATGGGTATCATATGCTTTTCACCTCATAGAGCTCGTATCGAAAGAGAAAGATGATGGAAATTGCCTGTGAAGACGAGAATTTAGCTTTACTTCAATAAAGTTTAGGGTTGTGCTATAATGACTCGGGAGCTGTGTGGTATCTTTACGAGTATGCCAGATTTTCTCACGGCTCCTGAGACCTGTCCTTAAAAAAATAACAACAGGGATTGTCTTACATCGATGCAGAAAGTCCAAAGGGATCCATGTCGAGCATTGGGTCGTAAGGATCGAGTAATTGTGTCATAGAACCGAATCCCTGAGCATTGTCGTCCATTTGCACGCCTTGGCCCTGGCCTTGCTGACCAGGTTGCTGGTTTCGGTTCATGGCCTGTTGTTGGGCCATATGGTGTTGGTTAGGTGGGAGGGGTTCGGGGTATGGGCCTGGCCCAGATTCGGTGGGGTCTTCGTCGACCATATCGGCTTGGGCATCGTACTCCTGTTCTGTACTCACGGAATCAATCTAGGACGAACATAGCTCTATAAATGAAAATGAAGAGGGGAGGGGTCAGCTTGCCGAGTTGCTCCTGCAGATTAAGTCAGTACTGTTTTCTAAGACGAGCCATGGAGGAAAATAGGACGAGCTAGAGGGCTTGAAAAAGTTGCTGGAGAGATCTCCCAGACGCTATCCATAGTCCATGAAGCGTGGAAGCAGAGGAACGTACAATGTGATTCTGGAAGGGGGACGGATAGTACGCGGCAGCTACCGGAGTGCCTCCCGTACCACTCGTCCCACTACTTCCCGGTCCCTTTGGTGCTATGGAAGCACCAAGCCCAGTGTTGACGACCATCCCGGCGTTTCCTGGTAATCCATGTGGAGATTGCGATTTAGCTGCTTGAAGTCGGTGTTGTTGTTGCTGCTGTTGTTGCTGCTGCTGTTGCTGTTGAAATTGCATATGAGGTTCCGAAGCAGGTGGCGTCAGAACTCGTTGGTGGTGGAACCCTGGTGAGTTAGATGTTGGTGATGATGCGTGAGAAGACGGCGTCGGTCTTGACTGTGGTGACTGAAAGGGCGCGCCAGGTTCTAGCTTCGGTGCGATGCTGGAGTTGGAGCGTCTGGCCTGATGATGTCTGTTCATGATGGCACGTTGGACAGTTGGCGCCTGTGCCATGTTCTGCGGTATATGCGTTGGGCCAAGGTGAGGACTTCCAGTCTTAGCACGTAATTCAGCTTGAACATCAATGCCTAGGAGGTTGTGTTAGTGAATATGTCATCGTTAGTGGAAGTGGATTTCGAGTTTACCTTTCTCCAGTAGGATTCTCTCCAAAAGTGAGTTCTTGTATCTCAGCATGAGACATTCATCAGCAGCACTTCGATGGGCCGTTTGCAAGTTATGAAGATTAGTCTCATGAACACGGATAGTTTCCTCTAATTGCTTGATGTACTCGGTTCGGCGTTCCCTAAAGGCTGCTTGCGCTTGCCGATTACGCTGTTTCCGTTCCTCGGAAGTTGCATATATCTATCAATACCTATTAGTAAAGATAGTTTTTGGTGTATTTAGAATAGTACTACGAACGGGTTTTCGTCCACCCTTTCTTTTCTGTTGACTGGCTCCAGCAGTTTCAAGAGCGGCTCCAGGGTCAGCCTCCGGAGTTGGAGAGTTGAGGTCCATGGAATCCTCGGAGCCCTCTCTACTATGTTCCTTCTTGTCGATAGACATGTCGTCGGCCATTGCTTTGAAACAAGAAGTTTCTTTTCCTTTTCAAGTTCCGACCCACTCTGGCAACGGCAATACAGTGAGTGCCGCGGCAGTCAGTAACAGAGCAAGGCCAGCCGCACTATTCCCACTTTCCACTATCAATGACTTGCAGAAGCTTATTGGGACGTCGGAAGGGTGGCAATGACATCCGCTATCAGATCAGATCAAGGGTAAGGCTGAGGTTGAGGCTGAGGTAGACAGACAGGTGAAGCAAAGTGTTTTGATGCAGTATTGATGGAGTAATAGAATGAAGGAAGAATTGGTCATGAAAACTAAAAGAAGAAGTGAGTGCGTGACTACTGGATATTTGAATTATGCAAAGACTTTGCAGCGAAGACGGAAGGGCCAAGCGGTCGACCTATTATTTAGTGGATTTCGGCAACGGGAACGGTTGTTTGACACGGCCTCAAGGGCAAGGCAAGGCAAGGCAAGGTACAGATAGAAGAGACCGGCGTTGTCCCAGTGGTAGACCAGACTCGCAGCATCTACACACACGAAGTACTCGTACCTACTACCTACTAGGAAAAGACCGTAGCCTCCTCTGCCACCTGCACCGGCACCAGCACCAGTCCCATTCCTCGCAAGCCTCGATTTGTTCCCAGCGACTTGGCCGAGAAGGGCAAAAATAGAGTCCACCCACCACCCGGCACACAGACGTCGAACCGACGCACACGGACTAAGGTAGAGGTAGACATGGATGGGCGTTTCGGGCTTGTCTAGTGGACTTCTCCGCAAAATACGTATGCATTATTGCTTCTATTGCCCTTCGATGGCTTCCATAATCTTTCGATTGCTCCCACAGTAAACTTCTAAAGCCTGCATGCCCCACACGAACTAGGGAAAAAGGAAGGAAGGGTGGTCGCCAGCCATCTACAGTAAGGTACATGCAGTAAAGAAATTGATAGGAGCGACGGGCGCTTACCGTATTATTGGTACAGTAGTATTAAATTTATTTCGGGCGGCCCATGAAGAATCTTCACGGTGCTGCAGGCCTGCAACCCCAGGAATAAGAAGTTTAATAAGCTCTTGATTCCCGCTATTCCTGTACTCTTTGCCAGAAAGGGAAAGGCAGGATTACCACGAGATGAAAGTGTTATCCGGCGAAGATCCGAAGATTACCAGCCGGTCAGGACTCAGTGGAAGTGGTAGTGGCATTGAGAAGTATTTTGTAGGCGAGGGAGGGTTACACCAGTAGGTACACACCCTCAGACACCGTTGGGAGCCATGGCCTTGGATGCCGGGTCTCACTATATTCATCGGGTTTATGGTTTGAGCCTGGAATCGCTTCATCTTTTCATCTTTCGTCTTTCATCTTCCGTCCTTCTTCTCTCTTCTCTCTTCTTTCCCCGCGAGTACTCATCTCCTTCAACGTTACTCTAAACTCCTGATCACACAACCATCCATCATGAACTGATGATGCAAACGACGCCGCGCAGAACAAGGCGTTTTCCCAAGCCGGCCATCTCCGATGTCAGCTGCCCGCCCCGGTAATTTATACATACATGAGCGAGTTTTGCATGGGCTCAATTGGAGTCCTGGTTTGAGAGTTGCGCCATGGCCGCCAGCCGGGTACGGAGTATAGGGATCGTAAGTAAATTAATTTACGGAGGCGTAGGGGGTCGGCCGTGGTCTTTGCAAGGAGGGGGTGAAAAGACTGCTTGTGGCATGATGTGCTCTGAAGCGAGAAAACTTTTCCCTCCAGATTGGCTCGAGCTTCTTGCGGAGGCGGGCAGCCAATTATAATTGGACTACTGTACCTACTACTCCGTACGAAGTAGATAAAGACCGTAAAGCGCCGCAAGAATGGGTCCACGGCGAGCACGGCTACCTTACCTTACTCGAGTATCCATGCATTTTTCACTTGCAGCACGCAGATCAGTGGGAACGTCTCCTCGGGGAGTCGGGGAGTCCCTTATATTACTCCGTACGGAGCACCAACAGTACAGTGAAAACCTTGACGTGAACAATTGTGACGTTCTTCGCTTCACTTTCTATAAGGCTGGCCGGGCTGTACGAAGTACAGTACAGCATGTACCAATGCCAATCCAATACCAGCAGATCTCTGATAAGAGAGATACTCGACTCGAGTACTGTACAGTACCTGTCCTGTATAGGATATGGGTAGATACGATGCCTACCTACCTTACTATCATCGGATTTCCGATTGCTTAACCTCCTCGCATCCTTGTGATATAGTATGAACGAGATACCAGTACCTAGACATCGCCTCTTGTCAAATTATCGTCCAGTCAAACTGGTAAATTAGTTCAAGCCCAATGGCCAAGATGTGCTGTCTCCAGACAAGCCCCGCATTAAGAAGGTCACATCACCACCATCGTGTTGATGAGGGGTTCTCAGCTCTCCCTACATGTATTGATCAACCCATCATGAGGATGCAATTCTGCACGTATTCTGGGGTTGCAAATGGAATATTTTAAAGCTGGCTCAGTCTTCGTGTCGAGCGAATATGTCAGTCATACTTCCAACATGCTGTATGCTCTATCTCCCGTGAGATACATATGGTTTCATTCAGTGTGCGCAAAGTGCCATCCATTCTTTAGTGGCGGAAGATAAGTTGGAGTCACACATATCGGTCCCAAGAATCATCAAATAAGCAATCATTTGATGTCAGGATGAGATGAGACGAGTCGAGACGAGATGGCTAAAGTTGAAGTGGAGTGGAGCGGTTGTGACCTTCATCACGTGGTCAGATATACGTATCCCGGTAAATTCGTTTGTTGACTTCCCAAACGCGCCAATGAACGAGACGTCCTCATTCTCTACTAGCATCCCCACGCAATTGCACTTCCAACTACTACTACTACAACCCCACAGAGATTGGCTTTGGCATTGACTTACGACCTTACCGATACCGTATTATAGTCATAGAGGCCCACGATGGCTCGCCGTTCCTCCAGACTTCGAGGCAATACGCCAACTCAGGTATGTTTGTTTACATTGCACAATAGCGGTATCGTGAGAATTCTGCCCAAACAGCCGACTGACGACAACATCTGAACAGCCGAATAACTATGCCTCCAACCATCTCGAGTCCCTTACTGAGCGCGACGAGACCCCAACAGATATCGCATGGCCCAGCCTTGATACCCTTGCTTCTTCTCCTCCCGCTCCCCGAACTCCCGTCACAGCTACCCGCCCAAAGCCTACTGCCGCAGAGATGCACCCAAGCAAGGCGCACCAAAGTACAACTCAAAAGCCGGACTCTGGCCTAAGACTTGGATTCACGGATATAAAGGCTGCTGGTAATGGTCAACCATCAGGTGTTGCGCAACAATCACCATCAAGGATTGGAATCTCCACACCGTCTTTTGATTTCCGATTTGCTCGCCCAGGCCCTACCCTTGGTCCTGAAGCTCAACAGATGATGGATGAGCTGCGTGAAGAGGCTCTCCGCATCAAAGTCAAGCTAGCGGCTGAGAAGGAGGAGCAGCGACATCGAAGTGGGGAAGGGGCTGCCGTCCTGGGTCGCAAGATTGCTCAGCCAAAGGGCAAGGTCGGCCGTTACAGTGATGTTCATCTGGAGCAGTTCAAGAAGATGGACTCAATTGCCGATCACCCATCTTCATTTCGAGCACAGCCTGGTCGATTCACACCCACCACGACCAGTCTCAAACGCACACAGTCAAAGGCGAAATTGGATGAGGCAGAGGATATTCCTAGCAAGATCGCATCGCCAACAAAGACCAACGATTCCGCGCGAGTGGAGAATACAGCACCGGCTAAGCGTGCACGAAGAACTATCAACGATGATACTTCAGCTGCTCGGCCTGTTTCTAGAGACACCCCAGCGAAGCCAACTACACCAGGCATCCCTCGATCACAGTCAGGCTTTCTTGCGGCTATCACAACCCCTACTCAATCATCTCTAGCTCGAGCTGCTGGTGCTAAGACTCCCAGCACCCAGATCCCTACTTTGTCAAGATCTCCGTCAAAACCAAGCTTGATTGGCACACCTCGAACCCTTCCAAAGTCTGCAACTACCACTAATCTAAAATCCGAGTCGAGGGGGTTTCTCCGCAGTCCTAGCAAGTTTGATCGTGTAAAGTCGCTCTTTAGACAAGCCAGCTCTAGTATGAAGAAGCCAACTGTGAAGCCATCTTCTATCCCCTCCTTGACCAGAAGTCCTAGCAAGCCAAATCTTGATAGGGCTCTTCCTTCGGTCCCTACAACACCTATCAAGTCTGTGGCCTCAAAGCCTGTAAAGCATGTCAATTTTACACCAGATACGGCCAATAAAAATGCTAATACCTTCCAAAATTCGCCATCTCCAGTCAAGCCTGGTCTTCCTCGTTCGGCTTCCAGAATCATCCTCAACCCAAAGTCGCCTCACACCAAGATGAAGGCCAAGGAAGCTCAATATCCCGAAATTGCTGGTAATTCAAACATCGCAAGCCATTCGCGAGAGGTAGAATATCCTTCTTTGGCTGGTGTTCGTCAACTTCCAGCAGCCATGCGATCCGGACCAACACCACACCCACCACCATCCGTCCCTGGCACGTTTACTTTCCGCAGCGATCATACTATCGATTTTGGTGTATCACCCAAACGCTTCGGATCATCTCCGGGTCAGGCCAGCGTACGCCAGGTTCGACAAAGTATTGTTCCCAATATTCCAGGCAGCTTTCCTAGCAGCAATAAGGAGAATGACCGCGCTCTTCCTTCTGTCCCTCACGGAATGTCCAACAAGAAGCGCCGCCGTATCACCTCTGATGATGAGACGGAAGACGACCTCGATCATTCACCAAAGAAGCGCAAGGCAGCCGCTGCTGAAGGTCCAATGCTTATGGCCCCCAGATTGCACGCTACTCCAAAGTCTCGGCTCAACAGTCCGTCTAAGAGTCCGGCCAAGAAAGCTGGCTTCTTGAGCATGAGCAGACTTAACATGCTTTCCCAACCCAAGGACAGGAAGTAGGAATATGATGATACGTCCACCTTTACGATACAATTTGCGTCTCACTATTGGTTCTTAGCGTCAAGGCGTATATTTGGCGTTATATGTTGTTTACGTGGGGTTGGGCGTCATGCTTTCACTGCAACCTGGACATTGATATGATGGACACTGGAATATCTCGATGTTCGTGTCTTCATGTTCAGCCTCGATCATTTACATAATGTCATTACGAGCACATACTACTATCCTTTCTTTTCTTGTATGAATCATTGCTCTTGAGACATGTTGGTGTAGTTTGGAGAATCGTTCCTTCCTCATATGACGGATATGAGCACCTCTTGTCACGAAATTGAAAAAATGTTTAAGAAATTAGCTTTCCACTATCTTGAAATGTTGCTTCCCTGAAGCTTTTAAATGTTCAACTCTCGTAACCATCCTCCCTAGTCTTCGTGCGTATCCTACCGCGAAAGCGGTTCAACCCGAGTTGAGATTACATTCTCACCTTATACATTCATTTATAGACTCGCTACATCTTGCACTCGTCTGTCGTTTTCGCCTGAAACATCAGCTTTCGATCATTAATTAGCCATCACTACTCTTAACCTCGCCATCAACAACTCCATGCCTCTCAACACGCTCCCACCAACTCTATCCTTCCGCCCCTTCTTCTGCGTCCTTGACGCCTCCCAGTACGAAGCCCGACCATGTCCGAATCACCACTCCATATCCGCGCCGCAAGCCCCATCCCCATCCCAGCCCCCAAATTCCCAATCACAACCCCGGAGCCATCATTCATCTGCACCATCTGCTGGCAGCCACAGTTCCTGCCCTCGCGGCCCAAGCTCCTCGGCACTTCGGCTCGCATTGTATGTCGTGCCTGCTGGCGGGCTGTTCTGGACTTGAGTATCTGCGTAAGAACAACGGGGTTTTTTCTTCATATTATACTCCGCCTTCCCATCATGGTTTATCTCTCCTGTACTCCGACTCCTCCTGATACACTTCTCAAGACGGGAACTTGTACAGTTGTACTTCCTCTTCTCTCAAAACAGTTTTGGATGGGAAATAGCTAACTCTCTCGTCATGCAGTGGGTGTGTGGGGAATGTATTGTGAGGGGAGACGAGGTGGTTAGTTTGGGCTGGTGCTTTTGGCATTCGGGCTGTTTTGGGTGTTTGGTCTGCGGGGGGAGGATGGATATACCGAGCGGTAGTGAGGGAGAAGGGGAAGAAGAACAGAAGGGGCATGCGAGTGGGAGATGGGGATCTGAGGATAGTGGCATAGGTGTTAAGAGGAGGCATCTGGGGGTTGAATTGACTGAGATTCCGCTTTGTCGTGTTTGTGAGATTGAGACTGCTGGAGAGAGTCAGGGACAGGTTTTGGAGAAGGGATTGCAGAATATGGATCGTTTTGATGGGGGGCTGAGTCGGGATCGGCTGCAGATGTTGAGTGATGATGGGATGATAAAAAGGTCGAAGAGGAGGAAATTGCAACCATGGAGACGAGTTCTTGGTGTACAGAGCGAGCAGAACCCTGCCGATCGTGATGTGAGTTTATGGTTCCTCGGGACTATTTGGTACTGATAAAGGTAGTCTGGAGAGTCGCAATCCTCATTACTTCTGAATGCTGCGGATATAACGACTTCAGAAGATGGCACTGAAGATGATGTTTCTTGTCACGGTGACATGGAACTGGCAGAGTTGGGTCCTTTCGAGCCAGAGACTAGACCTGAGATTTACGTCTCGATTTTCGATCCCGTTAGAGAACTAGCCTTCGAATCGAGCCAAACCAAACCTTTGCCTAGATGGATGCAGCTACTTCCCAACAATGTACATAGGAGGAGAGAGAAGCGGCGCAGGAGGTTCGACGGTTATGCAGAGAGCTCTCATGCTCATGAGCTTAGAGTTCTGGGAAGCACATGCTCGGATGTGTATCATGACTGCGACCTATCTTCCCTTGACAGTATGGAAGAAGCATCGAAAGACACGACATCCAGATACTCGGCAAGCAGAACATCCACATCTTCCCCTATCCCGAAACAGCCAAAACATCGAGCGACTATATCCTTCGATACCGGAATCAAAAAGGACCGTAAATTCGAGGGCTTGATACTCTGTAGACGACCACAGAGTACCGGATCGGCAGATATAACTCCAAGCACTTGTCTTCCTACAGCCCTGCCAGTACCTCCGGGGCAGCGCACTCCCTTTCCTCGATTGTCGAGACCTAACTTGGAACGTAATTCGTCGTCATCGTATTTCTCACGCAGCATTAATATTAGGGATGCTCAAGGTTCATCCTACGGAGCCCAGGAAACGGCATCGAGCTTCGAAACATCGTCGCCTATTGCTCCATCGGACGGTCCTTCATCTGCTCAAACCTTGAGGGAACACTCGGCTGGTCCCGTTTCTACTACGAATATTTCCGCTACCAAGATTGAAAAGTCTATAACAAACGAGCCGGAACAAATCCTCCAGAAGATTAAGAGGCAGAAGATTGCTCAGGCTGCTGAGGATAAGAAAAGTTTAGAAACCCAGAAGATTGAGGACGAAGTTGATCGCAAAAGGGAGGAATTGAACAAGGAGTTGAGGCATTTGTTTCGTAAGGAATAGATTGTATTCGAAAGTTATGATAGAATGGAAGAAAGTATTGTTACCTTTTCAAAGTTGTGACTTGGCAATGATTGGTAACCCTGTAATATCATCTAAAGGGGGTTCTAGCGCAAGGCTGAGTGCCCCACTATAAAGCATGAATGGCACAGACCGGCACCTGTACCAGAACTTCAAAAGGCTACGAATATATCATTCATAGTTCATCCTTCTCCATCACTGCATACCCTACCTAAGCATGGCGCCCGTGGGAAAATCCGACCACGATGAGGTTGAGAGTGAGGATATATATCCCTTAATTACAAAGCTAGGGCACGTCTGACAACAAGCACAGAACAACTCAAAGGAGCACTCCAAGATCTATACCAACTAATGGTTCAAATAAACACCTACGACTCCTCCTCATCTCGGCCTACCAGAGCAGTGCTCGAAAACACTATGTCCGTTCTTTTCCCCTATCCCTCTTTGCCCCCTACTCATCCTATACTATCCAACAATTCAAAGCAAGGTTAGATGAACTAACCCCTTCTCGCCATCCAGAAACAACTTCGCATCCTCCCTCCGCACAATCCAAGCCTCGTCCTCGCGGCCCCTACCCCACATCCCCCCAGAGTTAATCGACTACGTCGATAACGGCCGGAATCCAGATATCTATACGCGCGAGTTCGTGGAGCTGGCGCGCAGGGGCAATCAGCTTATGAAGGGCAAGATGGAGGCGTTTGGGGATTTTAGGGATGTGTTGGCTAGGGAGATGGTGCAGGGCATGCCGGAGTTGGAGGGGGATGTTGCGAGGG